AGCAAAGCGACATCCTGCCCAGCAAAGACAGAGCTTGTAAAGCAAAGACAGAGCTCATTCAGCAGAGACAGCCCATCCAGCAAAGAGACATCCTGCCCAGCAAAGCGATTTCCTGCCCAGCAAAGCGATATCCTGCCCAGCAAAGCGACATCCTGCCCAGCAAAGCGACAGCTCATTTAGCAAAGAGACAGCCCGCCCAGCAAAGAGACAGCCCATCCAGCAATGAGACAGCCCATCCAACAGAGAGCGCAATCCACCGCACAGCGGGAGGTGAGTAGCGGCGGTCTGTGTTAGCTCTGTCCAGACTGCGGTCACCGCTTACGCTTACCTCCTGCTGTGCGGCCTGGTCATCAACAGGCCGCCCTTCGCCCATGTATATGTGTGTGTGTGTTTGTGTGTGTATGTATACATGTATATATATCTATCGATAGATAAACAGAGGGTGCAGCGCTATAGAATCATAAATAATACATCAAATAAAATGCTAAAAACAAGTGTCTAAATGTGCATAAATAAATTATGAATGACACATTATGGTGAATAAAACACATTAAAAGTGCAAAGTGTAGAGTCCACACATAAATAATATATGTCACTGTGTCGTGACTATTCAGTAATATTCGTGAGTGCCCAGTCCACAATATCCCAGTGCTGAGAGGATCATCTCTTATGATGAATATAAATGTGGTGCAATCCAAAATGATATAAGACTGCGCACTCACCAGATGCGCAATCAATATGCGCATGTAAGAGATAACCCTTCTTAAGGTTTGAATCCAGGAAACCCTCTGGAATATGGTCTGGTCTAATCTCCTGCTCTGCTCACCCAGTTACCAAGCATGACTCTGTCCTCTTCAGACGTGGCTCTGTGGGTGGTAGGAAGCTCCGGCGGCAGCGTGATGTCACTGCACTGTAGCTCCTCCCTGACATGTTTCGTGCAACCGCACGTATTCATAGGGGGTATGCTTACAGTACGAGACGTCTGACAATGTCCTTGAATAGCAAAAGTCACGCACGCGCAATGAGCGTGCGCCATCTTGTGATAGAGAAAAGTCTCCGGAAAGGCGCCATTTTGCCAGAGCTCGCACATGCGCATAGGTCGCCTATATTGGGAATGCGTGCACGATTAGGCGCCACATAGGAATTCCCATTCGCGCATGTGCGGGCGCCATTGTACCGGAGCTTCAGACAAGGACATTTAAGGACATTGTCATATAGTGTGTATGTATGTGTGTTTGTGTATATATATTATATATATATATATACCATATGGCGCCGTTCAACAGGCATACACATAGTTACATATAGTTACATAGTTAGTCTGGCTGAAAAAAGACAAACGTCCAGCCAGTTCAACCATTAAAAAAAAGTTATAATCCTATACCCACAGTTGATCCAGAGGAAGGCAAAAAAACCCCACCAAAGCATGATCCAATTTGCTCCTGCAGGGAATAAATTCCTTCCTAATCCCCCGAGAGGCAATCAGATATTCCCTGGATCAACTTTACCTATAAATGTTATATCCAGTTATATTCTGTGTATCTAAGAAAGAATCCAGGACTTTTTTAAAGAAATCCACTGAGCTGGCCACAACCAACTCTTGAGGGAGTCTATTCCACATTTTCACAGCTCTCACTGTGAAGACACCTTTCCGTGTTTGGAGATTACATTTCTTTTCCTCCAGACTGTAAAGAGCGCCCCCTTGTCCTCTGTGATGACCTCAGGGTGAATAACTACACACCGATGTTCACTATATGAACCACTGATGTATTATACATGGAGATCATATCCCCCCCTTATGTATTATACATGGAGATCATATCCCCCCTTATGTATTATACATGGTGATCATATCCCCCCTTATGTATTATACATGGAGATCATATCCCCCCTTATGTATTATACATGGAGATCATATCCCCCCTTATGTATTATACATGGAGATCATATCCCCCCTTATGTATTATACATGGAGATCATATCCCCCTTATGTATTATACATGGAGATCATATCCCCCCTTATGTATTATACATGGAGATCATATCCCCCCTTATGTATATTATACATGGAGATCATATCCCCCTTATGTATTATACTTGGATCATATATCCCCCTTATGTATTATACATGGAGATCATATCCCCCCTTATGTATTATACATGGAGATCATATCCCCCCTTATGTATTATACATGGAGATCATATCCCCCCTTAATTATTATACATGGAGATCATATCCCCCCTTATGTATTATACATGGAGATCATATCCCCCCCTTATGTATTATACATGGAGATCATATCCCCCTTATGTATTATACATGGATATCATATCCCCCTTATGTATTATACATGGAGATCATATCCCCCTTATGTATTATACATGGAGATCATATCCCCCCTTATGTATTACACATGGAGATCATATCCCCCCTTAATTATTATACATGGAGATCATATCCCCCCTTATGTATTATACATGGAGATCATATCCCCCCTTATGTATTATAGTACATGGTGATCATATCCCCCCTTATGTATTATACATGGAGATCATATCCCCCCTTATGTATTATACATGGAGATCATATCCCCCCTTATGTATTATACATGGAGATCATATCCCCCTTATGTATTATACATGGAGATCATATCCCCCCTTATGTATTATTACATGGAGATCATATCCCCCCTTATGTATTATACATGGATATCATATCCCCCCTTATGTATTATACATGGAGATCATATCCCCCTTATGTATTATACATGGAGATCATATCCCCCCTTATGTATTATACATGGTGATCATATCCCCCCTTATGTATTATACATGGAGATCATATCCCCCTTATGTATTTATACATGGAGATCATATCCCCCCTTATGTATTATACATGGAGATCATATCCCCCCTTATGTATTATACATGGAGATCATATCCCCCCTTATGTATTATACATGGAGATCATATCCCCCTTATGTGTTATACATGGAGATCATATCCCCCTTATGTATTATACATGGATATCATATCCCCCTTATGTATTATACATGGAGATCATATCCCCCCTTATGTATTATACATGGAGATCATATCCCCCTTATGTATTATACATGGAGATCATATCCCCCTTATGTATTATACATGGAGATCATATCCCCCTTATGTATTATACATGGAGATCATATCCCCCTTATGTATTATACATGAGATCATATCCCCCCTTATGTATTATACATGGAGATCATATCCCCCCTTATGTATTATACATGGAGATCATATCCCCCCCTTATGTATTATACATGGAGATCATATCCCCCCTTTAATGTATTATACATGGAGATCACATCCTCCCTTATGTATTATACATGGAGATCATATCCCCCTTATGTATTATACATGGAGATCACATATCCCTCCCTTATGTATTATACATGGAGATCATATCCCCCTTATGTATTATACATGGATATCATATCCCCCTTATGTATTATACATGAGATCATATCCCCCCTTATGTATTATACATGGAGATCATATCCCCCTTATGTATTATACATGGAGATCATATCCCCCTTATGTATTATACATGGAGATCACCATCCTCCCTTATGTATTATACATGGAGATCATATCTCCCCTTATGTATTATACATGGAGATCATATCCCCCCCTTATGTATTATACATGGAGATCATATCCCCCCTTATGTATTATACATGTTGATCATATCCCCCCTTATGTATTATTCATGGTGATCATATCCCCCCTTATGTATTATACATGGAGATCATATCCCCCCCCTTATGTATTATACATGGAGATCATATCCCCCCCTTATGTATTATACATGGAGATCATTTCCCCCCTTATGTATTATACATGGAGATCATTTCCCCCCTTATGTATTATATTACATGGAGATCATATCCCCCCTTATGTATTATACATGGAGATCATATCCCCCCTTATGTATTATAACATGGAGATCATATTCCCCTTATGTATTTATACATGGAGATCATATCCCCCTTATGTATTATACATGGAGATCATATCCCCCCTTATGTATTATACATGGTGATCATATCCCCCTTATGTATTATACATGGAGATAATATCCCCCCTTATGAATTATTATACATGGAGATCATATCCCCCCTTATATAATTATACATGGAGATCATATCTCCCCTTATGTATTATACATGTTGATCATATCCCCCCTTAATCTCCTCTTCTCAAGAGAATAAATTGAGTTCCTCTAATCTTTCCTCATAGCTGAGCTCCTCCATGCCTCTTACCAGTTTGGTTGCCCTTCTCTGTATTTTCTCCAGTTTCCCAATGTTCTTTTTGTGAATTGGTGCCCAAAACTGAACTGCATATTCCAGATGAGGTTTTACTAATGATTTTGTAACCGGGGGGGGGGGGGGGGGTGTAATATGATATCTCTCTCTGGAGTCTATACCTCTCTTTAATTACAAGAGAGGATTTTTGCTCGCTTTAGAAACCGCAGCTTGGCATTGCATGCCATTATTAAGCTTGTGATCTACCAGAACCCCCAGGATCCTTCTCCACCATTGATTCCCCCAGTTGTACCCCCCCCCCAGTATGTATGATACATGCAATATTCTTAGCCCCCAAGTGCATAACCTTACATTTATCAACATTAAAACATCATTTGCCACATAGTTTCCCAATTACACAGAGCACTGAGGTCTGCTTGTAAGTTGAAGACATCCTGTAAGGACGTTATTTTCCACGGCACAGCTTGGTGTCATCTGCAAAGACTGAAATGGGATACTTAATCTCAGACCCTATATTGTTTATAAATATATTAAAAAGTAAGGGTCCCAACACTGAACCTTGGGGTACCCCACTGACAACCCAGAGGACCATTCAGAGTATGAATCATTAACCACTACTCTCTGAATACGATCTTTTAGCCAGTTTTCTGACCATTTACATACAGATTTTTCCAAGCCTGTAGACTTTACCTTACACATTAGCTGTGTGTGGGGAACTGTGCCAAACGCTTTTGCAAAATCCAAGTATACCACGTCCACCACCACCCCTCTGTCCAAGTATACCACGTCCACCGGCCACCCCTCTGTTCCAAGTATAACCACGTCCACCGCCACCCCTCTGTCCAAGTATACCACGTCCAACCGCCACCCCTCTGTCCAAGTATACCACGTCCACCGCCACCCCTCTGTCCAAGTATATACCACGCCAGTCCACCGCCACCCCTCTGGTCCAAGTTATACCACGTCCATCGCCACCCCCTCTGTCCAAGGTTTTGCTCACCTCCTCATAAAAAGAAATCAGATTTGTTTGACAACTTCTGTCTTTCATGACTCCATGCTGTTTGTTGCTGTAAAATATTTTCTTCCAGAAAGAACTCATCTATGTGGTCTCTTATTAAACTCTCCAGTATCTTCCCAACTAATTAGAAGTTAAACTAACAGGTCTATAATTACTTGGGAAAGATTTTGACCCCTTTTTAAATTTTGGCACCACATTGGCCTTACGCCAGTCCAGTGGTACTATGCCAGTCATTAAAAGAGTCCCCTAAAAATCATGAATTCAAAACCATGGCTTTGAAATGACAGAGCTCAATTCTTTAACCATTTGCCTGCCAGGCACTTTAACCCCTTTCCTGGCCAGGCCAATTTTCAGCGCTGTCGCACTTTGAATGACATTTGTGGTGGTAAATGCTACACTGTATCCATATGAAATTTGTTATAATTTTTTTGAGACAGAGCTTTCTTTTGGTGGCATTTAATCACCACTTGGTTTTTTTATTTTTTTTGATAAACAAAACCAAAAACAACAGAAAAATTTTCTCAGTTTCTGTTATAAAATTTTGTACATGAGTAAATTTTTCTCTTTCACTGATGTGCGCTAATGAGGCTGCACTGATGGACACTGATAGGCTGCACTGATGGGTACCGATGAGGAGGAGGCACTGGTAGGTGGCACTGATGGGCATTGACAGGCTATCACTGGTTGGGCATTCACAAACATCACTGATGGGCACTGTAAGGCAGTACTCATATATGGCACTGATAGGCAGTACTGATAGGCAGCACTGACTGGCACTGATTAGTTGGCACTGAAAGGCAGCTCAGATGAGCACTGATATGTGGCATTGATGTGCACTGGTAGGCACTGATATGTGGCATTGATGTGCACTGATGGGCAATGTCAGGTGGCACTGATGGGGGCTACACTGATCATCAGGGCACTGATCATCAGTGCCCTGATGATCAATGTAGATGTCCCCTCTGAGGAATGCCAATTACCGGCTCTCCTCTCCTCTGTTTCAGCGCGTGACAGCTCGTGAGGAAAGAAATGCCGATAACCGGAATTTCCTTATTTACATGTGATCGAGCTGTGATCGGACACAGCTGATCACATGACAGAGCCGAAGTCATCGTCGTCTTTTTACACTGATCGGTGATCCACTGTGTCCGAGGGACACAGTGCACCACTGATCGCTGCACTGCACACCCCCGGGGGGCGCATACGTGTGGTTAGAGTGGGATGACGTCATATGACATCCTCCCAGAAAACCACCTTGTTGCCCTTCATTTCCTTATGTGGCGGGCGGGTGGGCGGGGGAGGCGATTAAGGCCCCGTGGGTGTATGCCATCCAATCCAGGTGCTTTATTTACCTTTTTTCTGTCTAAATCGTTCCGGATCATATCAGTTGTGAACCAATGTGGATCATCTGGGGTTACACTGTGTCAGTACCACGCCCATTATGGACAGAGCAGGCCCCCCTCATACTCCTTTGATTTTACACAGAGCTGAAGAGAAAGGTATTTTATAAATGTGCCTTTTCTTTGTACCCCAGGTCCCCACTCTAGATGATTCTGCAAAGGGCCTTCATGCTCGGGACCTGACCTTTTTACTGAATAATATATCCATTTGAAGAATTTTTGGGGGTTGGTCCTGCTATTCTTTTGCAATCTGTCAGCGTTCATTTTCAATTTATTCGCGACGAATCCGAAGATTAGCAAACTTCGGATGCACGAATCGAATTTTCCCAAAAATGGCGGCGACATGTGTGGCGACGGAGAAAATGGACAGAGAAGATGGGGGGCGGGGATCTCTGGGAAGGCGCGCAGACAAGGCGCGCTGACCCATAATGCATTCATGACATGTGATCGCATTAGCCAATCAGCAGCCAGCCAGCACTGTGTAATGGTGGAGCTATAAATCGCGGCCATCTTAGAATTCTCCATTAGCCTCCGGTCATTCAAGAGAGACAGACCTGTGTGTATTAAGGGACAGAGTTAGGGCCACAGAGACTTTAGGGCCACAGAATCGTTACTCAGGACACAGAATCGTTACTCAGGGACACAGAATCGTTACTCAGGGACAGAATCGTTACTCAGGGACACAGAATCGTTACTTAGGGCCACAGCTATCAAAGAATCGAAAATTTAAAGTGACATACACCCTTTTTTTTTTTTGGTGGCTGTCGTGTGCACAGTTGGTGCTGCAGTTTGCCGATTGTGCAAAATAAACTGACTTTCTGCTTCACAACCACTATTGTACGTTCAAAGAGTTAAATCCATTTACACGCCGGCTGGCGGTAATATTTTTTGGGTGATTAGTGCATTCCAGTGACATAAACGTACAGTTTCCAGCCAACGGCAAGCTGCAATTGACCGATTGTGCTAAATAAACTGACTTTCTGCTTCACACAACCACTATTGTACGTTCAAAGAGTTAAATCCATTTACACGCCGCGGTGGCGGTAATATTTTTTGGGTGATTAGTGCATTCCAGTGACATAAACGTACAGTTTCCAGCCAACGGCAAGCTGCAATTGACCGATTGTGCTAAATAAACTGACTTTCTGCTTCACAACCACTATTGTACGTTCAAAGAGTTAAATCCATTTACACGCCGGGTGGCGGTAATATTTTTTGGGTGATTAGTGCATTCCAGTGACATAAACGTACAGTTTCCAGCCAACGGCAAGCTGCAATTGACCGATTGTGCTAAATAAACTGACTTTCTGCTTCACAACCACTATTGTACGTTCAAAGAGTTAAATCCGGTTTTATTTTTGGGGTGCTTATTGAATTAAAGAGTATGTCAGACAACACGCAGAGGAGTGGCAGAGGAGGCAATGTTTCAGGAGCGAGCAGACGTGGCAGCAGAGGAAGGGGTCGAGGCAGCACTAGTCGCAGCCAGAGGCCAGTGCTCCCGGTGTCATCCAGCGGTCGTGTCTCCACCGACAACCCTGCCGTCATCGATTGGTTGACTCGGTCGTCTTCCTCTTCCCAGGTCACCTCTGACACCTACAGCCAACGGTCGGTGGGTACGTCAGACACAACCGTTAGTTGGCATGGCCCGGGAGCAAGCCCACTGAAATCACGTGTCCTCGACCTGCCCCTGTCCTTTGGTGTTCCCTCACCAAGCGAAGTATCGCATGCTGTGGGCTCAGCCCCACTGTACAGTGAGGAAGAGCTAACAGAGGGCGGTCAGGAACGGGGGGAGACATCCGCCTCTTCAGCAGCCAGGCGAAGAAGTACTGGCGAGGAGAGTGGCTCGGTAGCCGGTCTAGAGACAGGTCTGTCTCCTGACCCACACGCAGCCGAGGGGGCTAGTAGTGACGCGGAGACCCTAATTGATGATGATGAGGCTGATCGCACTTGGCAGCCTCGTCGTCATCAGGCTATTGCTTCCGCATCATCAGGAGAAGAGGGTGCCAGCTTGCCAGCGAGCAAAACAGTCGGTGGGTTGCCCAGGAGGCAGCAGGGTCGCAGCAGTGTCAGTGGAGCCAAACGGCCACGGAGTAGAGCACCAGCTCCACTGCAGCCTACCACCACGGCCAGTAGTGGTGCCGGTGTGCACGGAGGAAGTAGCAGTCAGCCAGTGAGGAGTAGCGGGGGCAAAGTTTCCTACTCGGCGGTGTGGCAATTTTTCGTCAAGCCGCCCGAGGAAGTAAACGTAGCCGTATGTCGACTATGTGGCCAGAAAGTCAAGCGTGGCCAGGGGGCCAATGTTGGGACTACAGCGTTGCGTCAGCATATGCAGCGTCGCCATTCGGTGGCCTGGGAAAACCGTGATAAAGATACGGCGGTTCTGCCTGCCCCAGCCCCCGCTCCATCACCCGCTCCGTTACTTGCTCCGTCACCCGACGTCAATCGCCCTCTATCAGCCAGTCAAGGCTCCAACACCTCTGCTGAGGGGAGTTGTCGCTCGTTGGCATCTTCCGCTCGTTCAGATGCTCCTTCTCCTGCTACTCCTCTTCACGGATTCCGTCAGCAGTCTTTCTTGGAATCCGTTTCCAAGAGACAACAGTTTGCGAGCACGCACCCGACGGTGCAGAAGCTGAACGTCCTCCTGTCAAGTTGCTGGTGCTGCAGTCCCTCCCTTTCCAAGTGGTGGACTCAGCACCTTTCCGAGAAATGATGGCTTGTGCCGAGCCGCGGTGGAGAGTGCCAAGCCGGCATTTCTTCGCTTCTGCCCAAAAAGGCAGTGCCAGCCCTGCATTCACATGTAGAAGAGATGGTGGGCCAGTCTTTGAGCATGTCGGTCTCTGCCAAAGTGCACGGCAGCGCCGACGTGTGGAGCCAGGGCGCAACGGTGTCACGCTGTGCTGCACCTGGTATGCCTTGGCGAACGTAGTCACAACAGGGTAGGAACTTCTCAGTGTAATGAACAGAGAAATCGACAGATGGCTGTCTCCACGCAAACTGAAAATCGGAACCATGTTGACCGACAACGGAAAGAACATGGTGTTCTGCTCTGCGTCAAGGAAGGTTGTGCCATGCGCCATGCATGGCTCACGTGTTCAATCTGGTTGTCAAGCGGTTCCTAAAATCCACCATCCCACTGCAAGACATCCTTAAAATGTCACGTAAACTTTGCATGCATTTCAGCCATTCTACACCGCAAAGCACACCCTCCTTGAGCTGCAGCGGCAGTAGTTCGGAATTCCACAGCATCTCTTTAATATAGAGCTGGGCAATGTACAGGATGGGGAGACCAGGTGGATCAATATGGGTCTCTCATTCAGTTTCATGATAATGGTGGTTTCATTTAATATTTTTATTTTATATTCTAAAGGTATTTTAATTATGTATTGTGAATAAAGTTATTTGTAATAGATTTGTGATGTAGTGGCTAGTCTTAAGTAGATAGCCTGTATATGTGTTAGGTCACGATCATAGGATTAACTAGAGGTTTTTCATAGTAGTAGAGGATCACTATGTATGTCCCTGCAAATTAGGCTCCTTGAAAATGCGGCCACAATTAGAATGGGGATTAAAGGGCGGGATAAG